TGTGGCTATTGAAGTGACTGGTTAATGTTAGAGAGGCAGGGCATTTATATAATTCTTTGTTCAATATCTTCTTTATATATACATATACATTATATATATATAATTTTTGATACTTTTTATGTATTTTATTAGGAATGTGAAGGGTCAAGGGCTATAGGAAAGTCGGTGAGACCATTGTTTCCCCAATCTCTTTTTCTTTGTCTGTACCTTCGGGAAGTGGGGAGACAAAGTGAGAAGACAAACCCAGCCTCCCAACCATCCCAGGGTCCCTCATGTGGGGCATGCTCCAAGGGTCCCTCTCAAGTGGTTTGGACAGTTCCACAGTTCTGTATTGCTACCAATCTTGTCACTCCAATTGCAATGAAATCTCTCCAGATCCTACCAGCTGACATAGTCCACCTTAGAGTCTCCATTTGCCCATGTAGTCACTGCCAACATTTGGCTGGGGTATTTGAGCAATTTGTTCTGTCTTCTGTCTTCTGTTATGGTATCAGGTGTCCTCTGCAGACTCTACTGTACTGCCATATCCTCCATATGGATCTTGATATGCTGTCCACTGCTTCATCTAAGCCACTGAGGAGGCCCAGTTCAGACATATGCATTCCATGGTCAGAACATGGAGCCTACAATTTCCTCCATGGTGGGAGTTCTAAGTCCAGTGGTTCAGTTGTGGGCATTCCCATAGCAACTTCATCTGAGATGATCCCAGACCTGATTCTTGTGTGTGCTGGCCAATACAGGGTCCAGCACAGGCCATTGTCGGAATCAGCCTATTCACACACTGTTAGTTGCAATTGCTGAGTCAGTAGTCTTCAGCTCTGTCTTCTACGCAAACTAATGAATTTTGCAGTCCAGCCCAATCCTGCCCACCACACATTCGGCTCCGATGCAAACCAGTGGGAGTTGTAGCCTAGCTGGAGCACCCAGAATAACCCCCACCAGCCCCACTTCCTGTCCTGGCTCCTAAGCATGCTGTACAATATCTTCTTTAGGGAGGATGTTTTGTCATGGGTTTTAAAATTGGCAAAGGTCATTATACTTTGTGTCCATTCTCACTTGTTTATTCACTTGCTGCTACTCCATGTTCTACAGCCTGAACTTTCCACTGGCATGACCTTCGGCTGCCTAGAAATTTATGTACAGTCTTTCTCATCTGCAGATACTTTTGCTTCCAAAGCAAATGAGTATTGATTTTTCATGATCATCACTCTGTCTGCAAGGGATCTGGGGCAAGGCTTTGTTTCAAGGCCTCCTCTGCACAGCATTGTGATACAACAATGGTCCATGTTCAGTTGTCGATGCATTCCATCCCTCTTTCATAGCATACCTGTTCAGGCCTTGTGTTCCTCCTTAATCTTGCAGCAAAATTCCCACCTCAAGGTCACAGCATCAAGTCAGGAGAGAAGCATTTTAACAATCATGACGGATAACACAAAGATTTGGGTTGCTTATTCTTGAAACTTGCATATGTCCACAAGCCCTGCTCAAGCTTTCTGTTAGACTCTTATACCACACTTGACCCATTCAATTACAATGCTCGGTTGGCTCAACTTACAATAGGCATTTCCAGATGCGGCGGAAATGCATCAGGGGCTTAGGATACTCTAACTAGATGCTTAGCAATAAGTACTCTGCTTCCTGAAGCCCTGAGTTACACACCCAGCTTCAGTTGTTGAAATGTATATACGTTTCAGGCTTGATCTATAACATCGATAGCCCTTTCAATATTGTGTTTGCTACAATTCATGAGTTTTGATATTTTTGTGTTTTTTTGCATTCAAAATAATTTCTTTTCTCTTATTAAATTATTTGCTGACTCATAGATCACACATTGGTCATTCAGTAGCATGCTATTTAACTTCACGATGTGGTAAATTTTAAAATTTTATTCCTGTTGCTGATTTTGCTTTATGGATTTTCATTTAAGAGAATGCATAGTAACTGTGTAATAGAGATGATTATATCTAGATGCGAATATACAATGCAGCATGCATCTCTACTTTTAAATCAAAGATGGACTCCCAAGGAAACTATTAACTATATCTTGACAATAGCATGCTGGACTCTGCCATTGTCTGTACCTGCAATGTCAGGAAACAAATAGCACAATGATGGACTTATGACTGCTTCTGAAGGACTATTCCATTGAATTAACATAGGGGAAATCAGTTGAGGAGTAGGGAATTTGGAAAAAGGGTAAGGGAAATCCCAGAACCCATGGAACTGTATCCTAAAATTTAAAAACAAAAAAGATCATGGAAGTGCACTCCAACTGTCTCTGAGTTTTGCCATGAGCTCCACATAAACTGTGTCTAGGCAGGCACTGTTGTTACAGGTACAACTGGGTTATGTGGTTCCAATGCATCACAGCCTGGACTGGCTACACAATCAGTTGACTAGCTTAAGCTAATCAGTTGATTAGTTTAAAGTTGCAGCATTTGGGGTGTTCTATAACTTTAAGATAGAGGATTGACAAGTCCGTGATATGTTTTTCACTTTGGAAGAGGACAGAGGTAGCAGGGTCAGATACCAGGCTGTCACACAAGTCTGAGCCTCAACAGAAAGAAGGCAGGAGTATTTAAAGAAGACTCTGCTATTACATGGTTCTAAGAATGTTATGGCCATGCTTGAGGAAGTCCATGATCCAAAATTGCTGTTAGAGGAAAAGGTCATGTTGAAAGAGAATGAGTTCATTGTCATGACCTCCACAGACATAAATAAGCCTCTGATTTCTTGTGTGCGTGTGTGTGTGTGTGCGTGTGTGTGTGTGTGAGTTAGACTCGGGTGCACAAGAAACACTACATAAGATGTACAAGATGTTCATTGGGATGTCACATCCTATGGCTCCTGCAAATGATCTCCTGACACACTAGCCATCCCTAGGATGCAAGACAATCACCCCCAAAACAACAGCCTCTGAGTTCCCTACAGAACACAGACTCACACCCCTCGCTCACCAGTTGCCTTTTTTTATCTCGGAATGCATCTTTCTCTCATTTCTCCAGGCATCAATACACAGGTCTCCAATTCGCTTGGTCAATTTCTTTATTACCGTACTCCTGTGAGACTAAAAACTACTGTCTTGTTATCTCATTCTCATATGGCTGAAGCTTTTATTATCTTATACTTTATTGTGTAACAACAGCAGGGAGTTATTAAATGCCTGTATGATCAAACCAGCAACAAATGTTTTCCTGTGTCAATGGAAGATGAACATTTAAAAAAAAAATCTGAAAATGCAGGATTTTCAGCACTAATGTCTTAAGATAATGTTCTAGATAACAGCAAGTTTGTCTGTCCTTATATTTCTTGTGTTTCTCATAAGCATATGACCTATTCTTAGAGCAAATGGATGATTCTGGTACACTAAAGAACAATCTGAAAATAGATTTAAAAATCTTCCTAGAAATGAAATCTTCATTATGCAGTGCCAACAAGTAATTCTAAAAATATCAGGTTAAAAATGATGCTTGGTGGGGTGTGAGTAGAGAAACAGCCTTACCTGTTTATGTACAAGGAACTGAACCCTGGAAATTTCACCTCCCTTGTACTACCATCAAAGGATCCTGACAGCTGCCACCGATGACAGCAAAGATAAGGAGATCAGCAAGTTTAGGACAACACTCCATCATGCACTTAGAGAGGAACAAGTCCTGGCCAGGGGTCCTCTGAGCCTCATTCTGTTATACTTATCAGCAGTGATGGGACATATCTATCCCTGAAAATATTCTTCTTCTCTAATTAAATGGATAATAAAGTATGATACACGGGAATTTGAAACAGCCCTTAGAAAATGTGCTATAATCACCGCATTCCACAAATTTCTTGGAGTTTCTTCATATGCAAGTGCATGTTCTAACACTCAATGGAATATTATCTAGCCTTGATAAAAAAGGAAACTTTTCTGACTTGTGAAACACAGATGAACTCTGGGGAGACTACAGTAAGTGAAATGAGTATGTTCAGGAAGGCTCATATCATAGGTTCTTATCGAGACGCAGCCTTTCTAGCAACCAAATCCACAGAGACTGAGAGTAGAGAAGTGGTTACTAGAAGCTGAAAGGGGCAGGGCAGAGGAAATGCGAAGATGTCAAACAACTGGGGCATCTTCTCATTCATAATAGGAATCCTCCTTCCTACCAGCGCGGCGAAAGATCATCCCAACACAGAATACATGAGTTATGGTCGGGCTTAGTTCATATTTTTATATTCATTTTGTTCTTCGTGAGGTTTGCCATTGGCATGCCAAGAACATTGTGGCAACTCGTAAACACAGCCATACTCTACCCATTACCCAGGGAGCAAATCCAGGGCAATCACCGTCCTGCTCTGTCTGTTCATTCCATATCCCCAGGCCCACTTTCAGTGTCACGTCCCCTCTCAACACTGTCATTCATTCCTAAATACCATTCTCTTAAAGGCTGAGTACCTGATGACTTCTGTTTGTTCCCTCACAAGTTATCAGAACTCAACCCTCTTTCCAAGCAAAGAAAAATATCTCACAAATGTGTCTGATGATCTCTGCTGAATAGGTTTTGATGAATAATTTTTATGGTCATTTTTTTTCCCTGATTAGAAAAGTTACAATTAGAATGCATCCCATAACCCCCTTTTCTATAATAACTGTATATCATCCTAACTTAGGATATTTAGGTCAGTTCACCAAAAAGTTAGCAAACTAGGTTCTTTCACCCAATGATAACCTCAGTGACTGGCAGAATTTGTTTAAGTCCTATGTGTATCAATTGAGTATCTTCTCTCATGAACAAAATGGTATAAATTAAGAGTTGGCAAACAAAACTTCTTGTATAGCCCAGAACCTGAGGGTTTGATCTATCATGAGAACACACATCGGAGAAACAGAATGTGCCCTAGCATGGCAGTGCACCTCATCACGAGTCTAAGTTCGATGCTGGTGACACTGGCAGAACAGGGCATGAGGGTTCGCATGGAGATGTCAGTTGTTGCCCTGGCCTCACTATTCAAGTTTTCACCACTCAGTGCTCGCTTCGGCAGCACATATACTAAAATTGGAACGATACAGAGAAGGTTAGCATGGCCCCTGCGCAAGGATGACACGCAAGTTTTCACCACTCAGAACACAGTATCAAAAGCATCTCTGATGTTTTTTATCTATGTTTTGCCTGTCAACAGATATTTATGAGCATGTATACTGTGTAAAATCTCTTCCAAGGTACAATGAGCAATCGAAATTTAAATCAAAGAAAAAGGTTTTCTTTTTCTGTTAAAAATAAAATGGAGATTCCAGTATTACATAAAGCCCTTGCTTTGCCTGTGCCAGTTTGTATATACTTGTCTTGCAGCTCCCAGCTTGTGTCCTGGGAAAGCAACGGAGCATGGCCCAAAGCCTTGAGACCCTGCACCCGTGTGGGAGACCCAGAAGATGCTCCTGGCTCCCGGCTTTGGGTAAGTTCAGCTGCGGCCTTTGCAGCCACTTGGGAAATGAACCAGCGATGAAAGATCTTTCATTCTGTCTCTCCTCTCTGTAAATCTGATTTCCGAATAAAAAATAAATAAATCTTTTTTTTAAAAAAAAAATGGACATTCCTCTGTCATTCAACTTTATTTTTGCCCAAGAAATAAAGAAAACATTTTAAAGGGATTTCAGTTCACTGTAACGTACATTAAGCCCATCTTTGAAACTCACCCCGTTTGAGAAAGCATAAATCTACGAAAACAGACTTCCTAAAATGCTACATGTATATACAGAACATCTCAGTGGTGATCAGTAAATGACATTTACTTCACATTGTTTCCATGAATAATCATGTCCTTTTCCAAAATACTAGCACATAGTTCCCGTCCTTGACACTGATTCCTGTACCTGAATTTAAACAAGTGCAGTGCTCAGGAAGGCAGACTACAGAGCCAACTTCTCTGTACTGAAATTCTACTTTGCCATTGCAAGGTTCTCTGAGTATGAAAAAGTTCTTGCTGTATGCCTCACCATGTCCTGTATCATAAGGAGATAATTGTATCTACTATGGAGGTGACCAAGAAAATTTAAACAAATTTATATAGAAAACATACAGGTCAGAGGACGACAAATATTAAGTACTTAATAACAGTTAGTTATTATTTTCATACTCCCTCAATATCATTCAATCAAGAAACACTCATTTAAAACTAAAGTCATACCAGGAGGTTATGCTGTGGGTTAATGACTAAATTGCTTTTCTCTCTGTAAAGAACTCCTTGAGGAAATTAGCAGTGCCTTGAGGAGGCAAAAGAGTGAAGGAGGGTGCTAAACTACAGGAAAAAGGCTACTATTTAATTAACACTTAGAAGGTGTCAGACAATTTGCATATACTCTAAATTTGTTCTGAACCCAATCCTAGTAAACCTGCCCAGATTTGAACAATTAATAGTGGCACGATGGAAATTAGGCCAAGCTCTTCCATGGCAAGAAGAAGAAACTGTTTCTAAATAGCAAGCAGTGGGATGTACATAAATGCAGGTATCTTAACCAGAAACGGACACAGAAAACACCAATGTCAGTGACTTTCCTACACTCGGGCAATTGCTGATAGCTGCTCTTTGTCTAAACAGGCCTTGTCCACCTCTTTTAATCTACTCTTTTCATCAATAAACTAAAATAAAACTAAGAGTCGCCTCCCCGGGTTTCATATGATTTATTGCATAAATGCTGTATTTTGCATGTTGACAGGTTCTTTGGTTAATTGTTGCTTCTGACTGTTTCCAAAAATATAATATAGGATGAGCTGTTAATTTAGAATCTGTAGGTACATTGAGAAAACTGGCCTTTGGAAAAACAATCAGAGATCCTTCTTCCGGCAAAAGTTCTAGGTCTGCTAAAGATACTAATCCATAACTTGGAATACTAATGAAAAGCCTGCCATTTTCAGGTGGCAAGTTTTAGCTTGAAATGACTCATTTCCAGATTTTAAATTTTCAGATATTAAGGAAAAGAATAAAAATATCAGTCTTATTTTTAATGACAAACAAGCTTTCACTCAACATCTTTGAACCCACACTATACTTCCCAATTTACCACCTCTTAACACATAATGTGCCCGGAAGGGGTACTATCGAGGTAACACTGTGTTCTGTGGTAAGAAGCTTATAAAATGTCTGCTTCAATATTTTTCTTCTCAAATGAAAAAGATAATATTCACCTGTGAACAAGCCTTCCACAAGGGTAAAGGACACTACAATCAGAAAATGCCCACAGTTTGTGTCTATCATGCTTTCTGATTTTGAAATAATGGAAGCTTAGATTTGGCTTCATTTGTTACTCAAGATGACCCATCATTGCTCATCTCCCCAACCCCCATTACCTCATGCCTCATGCCTCTGACTTTTGTGCTGTATTTTCTTACTCAGGATTCTTTTTTCTTCCGTTCCCAAACTGATGCAACTGATTCATTAATACAGCTCTTGTATGCTCTAATGTAGATACTATGATAAATTCCTGGAATCCAGGATCAAACAAATCAAACAACACACAAGTAAATAGAGAGTAAATAGAGCCCCAGATGGTGGTAAATATCATGACGAAGCCAAAGAACACTGTGAGTGCTAAAGGCTTCAGGAAGTGGTGATGAGCCTTTACACAAGTGCTTCCGAAAGACCTTGGTGGGAGAGGAAAGTGTGAACACAAACCTACAGAAGGTTTACTCAGGAGGACCATGAGGATGTCTGCAGGCCAGCAGCCAGCCAGCCAGAACAGCAGGCCAAGTGTTGGCAAAGCTAGATGCACATGTTCAAGACACAGTGAGTACAAAAAGATTTCTTCAGCACTGAGAATAAACTGGCAGGAGATGAGGGTAAGTTATAAAGGAGAAAGTTGTAAATTACAGAGAGCTTTGTAGGTCACTCTAAAGAATTTTCCTTTGTTCTGGAAAAGAGGTGAATCAGTGTGATAGTTGAGGCGAAAGTAGCTTGCTGAACTGATTTATATTTAATACTGTTTCTGACTATTGAATAGAAAATAGACTCCACAGGGACACATGCCGAAATTGAGTTATCAGTCATCTAGCTGAGAGATGGTGACTCAGAACAGAACAAGGCGGTGATGAGAAAAATCACAAAAAGAGTTAAGAATCTGAAGGTAGAATCATCAGGATTCTGCTTCCTCTTACTGTGACTTCCATGCCAAGTTTCCTTCTTTGTAAAAGCCAATATCCTGCACGTGTCTCTAGCTCTTTCAGTGATAAAGTTTCATTTACATTGCCTCCTGTATTGTTAGACTGATCCATTGAGGAAAATATGCTATTATTACAATTCACCATAGACCAAAGACATGGTGTATTAACAGGAGGCCATATTCATCATCCTTTTGTCAATTTCCAAAATGACAAAAACATCGCAAACAAGCTCAAAGATGAATTAATTTTGTGTGTCTATTACTTAAAAAAATTCCTTAGTCAAAAGTCACTGATCATTATTGTATTTTGAATGTAAAAATAAGTGAAACATTAGTGAAATTTTATGAGGGGGGAGGTTAAATAAATGAAACACTCAACCAGGGAAAAATCAGATGCAGTTCTACAAAATCTGGAACCAGACAAAAGGGCCCATTTCATCACTGCATTTGGATATAGATCTGGAAGTTTTAGTCAAAGTCATCAAGCAAGAAAACGAAATGAAAGGGATACAAATTGGAAATGATGAAGCCAAATTATTCCTCATTACAGAGGGCATGATAATATATAAAGAGAAATCAAAAGATTTCAAGAACAGACTATTAGAACTCAGACAGTTTGGTAAAATTTCAGGATACAAAATTGACAGACAAAAGTCAACAGTTTTTGTATAAACAAACAATGTCAGGGCTGAGAAAAAAAAAACTTGTAAGATTAATAACATTCATGACAACTCTTTATTTTTGAATAAATTTAAGCAAGGATGTGAAAGGTCCTACAATGAAAATTAGAAAACACTAAAGAAAAAAATAGAAGACATGAAAAATTGGAGACCCATAATGGTCATGGATTGGAAGAATAAATATCATTAAAATGTACATTATATCCAAGGCTATTTACAAATTCAATGTGATTCTACAGTCAATGAAATCCTTCTCATATCAAGAAACCATAATGCTAAAATTCATATGGAAAGGCAAAAGACAAAAGACCCAAATTTTCTAAATTAATCTAAAAAAAGCAAAAAACAAAGCCAGAAGTATCATTATACCAGATTTTAGGACATACCACAGGGAAGCCATACCAACAGCCTGGTTCTTAATAAAAGAAAAATAGACATACAGACCAAGGCAACAGAGCAGAAATTCTTTAAGCCAATCCATATATATACACTTAACTACTCTTAAACATACTGAAGTCAATCCATGGAGATGGGACTATATCTTTGACAAATAGTTCTGGGATGAAATAAGATATCTATCTACCACTTATACAAAATTCATCCCAAAATGGATCAAGAATCTAATCTACAACCACATAGCATTCCATTGCTAGAGAAAAACACTGAATAAATATCAACATAGACACAGATGTCTTGTAATAGAGCTTAGAATCTCAGGCAATGAAAACTGAAGAAGACAAATGGGCTTGCAGCAAGCTAGTTTACCACAAAGCAAATAGCCAACAAAGGTGGGGGACAACTGATAAGGTGGGAGAAAATATTTGCAAACTAATCTACCACGAAAGTATGGTATTCAAAATCTATAAGTAGCTCAAGAAACTCAACAAAACAATGTAGTAAAGAAATGAGCAAATGATATGAACAGGTATTTTTCAAATGATAAAGTTCAAATGACCAACAGACAAATGAACATATGCTCAGGTATAGCAGCTAACAGGGCATTGAAAATAGAATTCATTGTGGATGTCACCTTTCCCCAGGGACGGCTATCATTGAGAACAACTATCATACAGAAATCAGAGAGCAATAATCCTGGTATAGATGAACGGAAAAGGCAGCCTAATAAACTGTTGGTGGAAATTTTAAGTAGTCTACCCATCACGAAAGACATTATTACTCAGACATCTGAGAACAGATTTATCATATGTTCCAGCAATCCTACTTATGGGAATTTGCAACAAAATGGAATCAACATAGTAGTATCAGTATCCCCATGATTTTAGGACATTTGGGATTCTGAT